AAAGGGTTGTATGTGATACGAAAATTGCCAAAAATGACTCTTGACGCCCTTTAGTGTAACATGCTTAAGCGCTTAGTATGTGTTAAAAGAAAACCCGATACAAATAAAAAAAAAAAAAAACAGAAAAAGAAAAAGAAAGAGAAAGAGAAAGGAATCAACACCAAAACTACTTGAAATGAAAATTATTTACAAAATAATGAAAAGGGGAGTCGTCCATATAATAAGTGCTTATGCCCTTCTATTATTAAGTTTAACGATTGTAACGATTAAAGTTTTTCAAGCTTTCTCCTTCTCTTCGACGTAGACATTGTTTGTTAAGCGTTTCTCTTTATAGGTCAAAGTATGGTTTCAAAATCGCCGAACCAAACATAAGCGTATGCAGCAAGAGAGCGACAGCGATACAAAAAGTCAAAAAGGCAGCACTTCAGGTGATAATGAGACCAACAAATATGATGGCTCGCAGACTAGTTTCGAAGATCAAGATGATTTAGACGACGACGCCGAAGAGATGGAAGATGAAGTCATCGATATGGATGATTATGATGAACATGGTGATGAATTAAGCGCCGAGGAACGTCAACGCTTAAACGAACACATGCAAGAAATCCAAAACAGACATTTTGTACACAATCATATGATACAGCAACAGCAGCAACAGCAGCAGCAACAGCAGCAGCAACAGCAGCAGCAACAGCAACATCAGCAATTGCTGCAGCATCATCATCAATACATTATGCAACAACAACAACAGTTGCGGGAACAACATCAGCAACAACAATTTTATAATCAAAATGAACATCAATCACAATCACAATTGACAGAAAATCGCAATCCAAAGCATTAACTGTAGTTTTAAAAAATAAACTAACAGTTAAAGTTGTTCATTAAACCTCCCGAATAACGATTTGTAATACGAAACTATACCCGTGCGAACAGGTCAATATCTACAAAGTAATTATTGAAGGTGGTCAGCCCCTTACAGTGTCCGCTTCTCGCAAGCTGGCTCAAAGCTTCTTCTCTTCTTTACTGCAAGTAAGTTTCCTTAGTCGAATTTATTCAAAATGAATTTAAAAATTCCGCTCGAAAGGCTAATAAATTAATTATCTTTGCAAAGTGTCGGATCTAAAAGTGAAGCATGATGTTTTCGAACACAAGAAATGTGAGCAAAGAAATTTTCGGATATGAAAAGAGAAAGCTTTCGATAGTTTTCCTAAAAGGCCCAGCATCAATAAATAGCCTTGTTTTTCTTTCTTTTAAATCGACGAAGCAATTATTTCGGTTACCTTGTGATAACGCATTTCAAGCTCACAGTCTGTAGTTTTCTCATTTCAAGTTTGGTGTCAGCTGTTTTCTATTAATCTGTTCCTACAAGAATAATGACTTTTTATGTAGGGACTATTATTATCCTTGTCCGCGTTTCAACGAGAATACTCGGCCGATCGTATTCAAATGCCACGTGCCGTCCTTCAATGAAGGACAGTCAAAGAAGTATTCGAATACGTTTACACAGATTTCAGACGTTTTGTTTGTTTTTTTCGAAAGATCGCAAAAGATTGCTCGCGATTCCCTGAGCGCGGATATTGCTAGCACCTTCTGTAGGGTAACGTCGCTTGTGATAAACGCATAGAAACGATTGCTCGAAGAGTATTTCTATTGGGATCCGCTGCATTGCATTTGAGCACGATTTATACGATACTTGTGGAAACTTCATCTGTCCTTCCTAAACACGAAAAAGTAAAAGAATATACAGTAAAACGCGAGAGCGTATTTATATGAATTTTTATGATGACGCCCGACGCATTACAGAACGGCTGGGGAAGGAAGCGATTGACTTGTCTTAACAAAGATTTAACGCGTGTACATGCACGCTATTCATATTGACACGGATTATGCGCACCAGACCACATCTTATGAAGGGAGTGACACCAACCCAGTCGGTTTCAGTTCGTAAAATAGATGGTTAAAAAATTTGTAAAGACCCTTAGCTCGTGTGTACTACTACATGCTCAGATTTCTAATCTACAGAGGACGTGAAAACAGTGTGTTTAGTCCCGGTCTGAAAAATAGGCAGGCCCTAGGTGATCCAGATGTGCACTGTTGTGCAAATATTTTGGATGTGATATGCGAGTGCCTCTGAAATCTCTTTACGGTCTTCATGGTCGTTCCCTTCCTTTCCGTTTGTAAAGTTCCAAGGCTGAATGATAAAAGTCTGCTTTAGAAAGCTATACAGTCCCAATTCTGTGACAGTGACTCAGTACCTACTCTTATTTAGTTTTTAAACATTGAAAGCATTGTTATGGGAAAGGCATTCTCTGCGATTTAATCGTCTTTTCTTAAACTTAAAAAATCGATCGCAACTGGCATTTCAAACTTTAGAGTAGAATTTATAACAAAATGGCTCTACATTTTTTTATCGTCAAAGTCAAAAATAAATCATAATATTGTTGTTATTGTCAAGGCACTACCCAACTGGCGACAATTCAGTGTAAAAAGACACTGATTACAATCGCGTAATAGTTATCTCGCAGATTCTTGAATTAACAAAAATGTCGATCACTCGCAAATCACACTGAATGAATGATCCCTATAATCCCAGTAAGGTGTGACTTTTCACAAGAACTTGGCTTACGGTAAAAAGGTAAGGAACAGAACCAAAAGTTGGCCAGACAAACTCGCCATCCAAAATACAAAACTTTTGGATTTTTGCCTAACGCCTGCCTATGAAAGAGTCGGTATTGACGGTTAATAAGAACCTTAATCCAAAGAATTCCAATTATTACACTTTTTTTTGATTTCAAAACAACTTCAATTTCCTTGTGGGACGACACGGTGCAAAGATTAATTCCTTAGTAAGCGGTTCGTTCAGAAAAGCAGAAAAAAAATGTAAAACGGAAGCAGAAAAACTAGAATATAGAAAAAAAAAAAAGTGGAAATGTACAGAATTTAGAATTGAAAAAAGCGAGAATTTCTTCAAAACGAATTTTAAACTGAACGGCTTTAAGCTTTGCTCTAAGTGTATATCTCTCCCCTCACGTTCCTCTTTACAAAATGATTTGTCGTCTTGTTTGCATAAAAATTTATATTATGTTTAATTTATTTAATTTATTGTTAGCTAAAATATTCTTCTTTTAATTTTTTCTTAGAATCTTAATTAAAAAAAAAAAAACAAAGAAACAAAAAAAAACACGTTTTGTATAAAATTTTCTTTTAAGCAAAAATCTTAAATTATTTATAAAAAAAACAGAAAAAAAAGATATATAAGAAAAGAAATTTATAAAAAAAAATTAAAAAATTTTAAGTATTTTTTTAAGAAATGTTAAACACTGTTCAATAATAAATGGTATGAAAAGTTTTAAAGAGCAATCAACGTTTTTGATTTCATTTATTATTTATTGTCTGCGATTAGTTTGCAATAAATAAATGGTAACAAAATGCGATAATGAAACAGAAAACTATTCCATAATGTCTAATAAGGGTTTGCAAAATACGAAAATTATAGGCCTTAAAGACTCAATGCATAACGTGCTTGCCCGATTTGCCTGATTTGCCTGATTTCCAAGGGTAACATATCACTTTCCATTTGTAATTTGTATCATCATTTAAATCCCATCGCGTGCTAACTATTTTGCTTCTTTTCTTTTTTTTTTATTTCCTCTGAATAAATTTTGTTTCTCTTTTTTCGGGTCTTATTTAGTTTTCGTTGCAATCAAATTCAACCAAATTTAGAACAACAACTTGCAATTAAAGACATATAAATATTTATATATTTATATATTTATATATATACATATATATATAAATGTTTTTTTCATGATAAATTTTTTGATGGTCAAGTTGAATTCCATAACATATCGCTGGGGCATATTTGTGCTGTGCCTGTGCATGTGCATGTGCATGTGCATGTGCATGTTACAACATCGTTACATTTTTAATGACTTTTTAATGAATTATATCGAAAGCATATCATTTTCACGAACATTTGCTAAACAACCAGGAGGCCCCACAAAATCCTGTTATTTAAAAATAAAAAAAAAAAAAAAAAAAAAAAAAAAACCGAACAAACTCCAACATTGTTATAACAACTAGATGCATCGGTACGTGTGTACGATGTGTAATAATTTTAAACCACTTACTAATAAATGAATGCGTATTTGCATGTGTTTGTGTGTGTGTGCGCATAGTAAGTAGATTATAATAACTCAAGCAACTAAACCATCGCATGCATTATCTTACTACTGAATAAAGATAAACCATCTTATTTAGAACACAACACAAGTTATATAAAAGTGTATGAGCGGTTTTGTCAAATGACTGATGACTGACTGATATAACTTATGTCTTGAATGCTAGATACGGCTTTTAATGAAGAATAAATGTCTGCCTGTACCATTAAATAAATTTTTACAAGACAAAAAAGAGCCTCTCATTAGTAAGCCGGCAAATTTGCTAAAAATTCGTGTTATTAGGTGTACCGATTAATTATTAACGTCTTACAGTATAGAAACTACAAACCAACCAAAATTCCGAAACCGTTACGCTTCGAATCGGATTTTCTAGTTTTTTTCTCAACCTCATCTATCGAATGAATTGCCGAAGCATTTTCGACTAGACTTTTTCTTATTCTTTTTGAAGCGAACTACTTAAAAACTCTCTTTTACTTTCTTATCCCCTTTTTTACGTAAAAAGCCCCGGGTACGAAGGAGGGGTGGGGGGATTTCTCCTATCCCCACCGGAATCCAGTTCGCATTGATTTATGCTCTTTTCCCAAGTGGTGGTGGTTAGTTTTAAAGCTTCGCCAATTTTTCTTCTTCTTCTTTCTGTGATGTGTTTACAGTTTAGGGCCAAGGTAACGCTTCTTGATAATTTCCTTATTCCAAAACTTCTCTTAGCTTAGAAAACTTCGTTATATCAATATATTCTCAAAGTTACCAAAGACAAAATGCGCCTTGTCTTTCGAAAACGTTCAAGCTTCGAGTGGACCTCACACATATTAGGCTTTGCGATAATTGTTCTTCCGCCGCCGTTGTGTTAGCCTCTCGCAAAAAATCGTCTTAATCGGAATCCGAGATTGTTTACCTTACTACACCAATAATTATAAGAATTTGCTCATGTGCTTCTCTCCACTGAACCAATCCTATTTGTTTTTCTTTTCTCTTCTTTTTTAAATCACTTGCTTTCTTCAATTTGCCTTTTTTTTGTTCCCTGAAGAATCAATGGTCCTTACCAAAAGCTTTTAACTGTGAAATTTGTTCTTCCTCTTCTCAAGAATAAAGTACAAAAAAACGGGGTCCTTGCAGAGAACTTCATTTTAAATCTTACTTTACTTAAGAAAAGGATTTAAATGCGGAAATTACTTCGATACTCAAATATTCGACTCATTTAATTTTTTCTTGACTTTTCGTCTATAGCAAAAGCAGAAGATGGAAGAAAAGCGTTGTCAAAAAAATGTAAACTCTAGAAAGCTTATGTTTCAGAAGTTTTTAACTAATTTCGGTAATGAATCACGAATGGTTCGAATGATGATTCCGCCTCCGTTGCTTCTTCTACTTTAGCTTCTGGGGATAGTTATTTTAATCGCGTTGTAATCAAATGAATACTTTTTAATACAGAAGATCGCTAAGTTGCCAGTCCTAGTTATTATCATGTCATATCTCCTTGAGCCTACAAAATTTGGACGTTTTACTCGAATGCTTCTGCCGACGTACAACTAAATAGCGTTTCAAGGAGGAATATCATCAGATGATCCAGATAATTTTCAACGTAGAACTTCTTTTCATCCCCTTCCGAGCACTCTTATCTTACCGCATACCGATTAAATTATTATCTCGACAAAACTTGAACGCTTGAAGGTTGTCAATGCAGACTAATATTTTATATATATATGAACTCACCACTTACCACTCACCACTTTTACATTATATATAAGTATACATAATTATTAATTTATATACATATATGACATCATCTTCATTAATTGGCACACCTGATGCGACCAGTATTAGTATGTCATCTGATTTTGTTTACCTAGAGCTTCCTGTCAAACATAAAAATATGATGCATGCGATGTTTATTCTCGTTTACTTACTTAAAATGTAATTAAATTTCATATTTTATTTACACATTATGCACTTATATGCTTATGTGGATCATATCTCTACACGTAAATGCAAACAAGTTCTACGAAAACCACAATTACAAACAACTGCAGAAAACCGTTATGCCTCAAGAAATTGAAAAAAGAAACCTGCGGGAAAAAAGTTTACAGCAGTAGCAACGTTTATAGCATAACTAACAAACATTTATAAAGTAATTAGCCTCATTGTAAGATGAAAACTGAAAAATGAAAGAAAAATGAAAAAAAAAAAACAAAAAAGAAAAAACCAAAAAGAAGAGAAACAGTTGCAGAAAGAGTACGCGAGAAAAAGAGCCGACAAAATAAAATTCACTTTATGCTCAGAAACAAACTTTAAACCAATTTCGTGGTGTGCTATCAGTTCATCATAAGGAGATCACAAATTTTAAGGTTGGTTTGCAACTTCGCTAAACGAATGGGATAAATTTATATTTTTTGTAACCGACTAAAATATATTTTTATATATAATACGACAAAGGAAAAGTATTAAAGTATTTATAGGAATTTATATAAGTATTTTACATACATTCAAACAAAAAGTCCATAGATATCTCGGTTTAAGTCACGCTTCTTAAGTACTGGGCTATGCGATAGGCCTGTCAAACTTCTATCCTATTTTCCTCGAATAATACTTTAGCTGATCTTCAAATACTGCTATTCATTTTTACCAGGGAAACGAAGAGTTGCTATTATGTAAGGTATTTGATCTATTGTTGGAAGACTTTTTTCTTTACACGTCCGTACGCTTTGAAGGAATACCCCAACTGCACAACCATTTAACTCAGTTATGTCAATAAATTCGACGTAAGCCAAAAATCTATAAAACATATAATATAAATGGTTACAGTACGTAATACTACTTCGAACTTTCCACCTCTGATGACTTGAGTTCGCATGGAAAGTGGCCGGCTTTCTAAGAAGCCGAATTTCCAAATATGCTAAATTTTTGTACGTTTTATCCGCCTGATGCAGGTGACAATTAGCAACAATTAAGACAACGTTTACATGCTCCCATGCTAGCTACGTACTAGCAACTTGCTTGTAACAGGTTGTTCAAGTAGAGTAGCTGCGAAAGGCAAAGTCGAGTCGAGTCGAGTCGAGAAAGTTGACTCGTAATATTCGAATAATTAGAAGACGAAATAAAAGCTTAAAGTATAAGTTTCTGTAAATTGCATATAAACAGATCCCCTATCTGCTGCTATCCTAAAAATCGCAATTTGACGTTACGAACTTAATCTCAAAAGGACTTGAGTAAAAACCACAAGACGATAATTTTACGTTACACGTACAGGCGATTATATTGGACGCTTTGTGTCGTTCATGAACTTCTTACAGAATCTCAAGTCTATATGTCGTTATCAATGTAAGTTTCATTATGCGATTGTATGCTCCCGCAGGAACCTTATGCAGAAATGACTACCACGGGAAAAGGAGGTCATGCCTTTACTTAAAACATGCAGTGATCCTAAATTTGTTACATAATTATTAATTATCATCCTTATCAATAAATCAAAATAAAGTATCATTGCGCTGCTTCTGCTTTTCGCATTTTATAATTAAGATGAAGTCCGTAGGTTGCTGAAAAAAATAATGATCTATAAGCCCTATTCGGCGCCATATGAAAGACTTCCTAATATGTAAACAAGCTTGACGTACACCGTAATAAGTTTCTAATAAATGAATTAAAGAAATTTGCTTGAGAATGATTTCTATTCATTGCATTAATCTATGGTGCACTGAGGTGTACATGGTGCCAGGTTATCCTCATCAATTACTAGGCAAGGGATGTATATAATTGTC